CCCAGTAAGGATAACTGAGGGTGTTCCTCACTAGTGTCCTTCTCTCCAGGTTCTATACATATATATACACTATATAATATATATATTTTATATATATATATAAATAAGTGATTCCTGGTCTTTGGTGAATTCAATCACTTTAATATTGTTTTTTGTGTAAGAAAGACCCTTCCCTGTCTTCTTCCGAAAATGCTATGAGACATACATTGATTTTTCTAAATATGATAGAATTAAATTGGTTTCATGTCAAGAATCTGGGTGAATTTCAGACTCCCTTTGAGAATGTAAGGGAAACCATGGATATCTGAAAAAACAAAGTAAGAATCAAAACGCTAAGCTGAAGCTCTGTGGCTTCTCATCTCTGATACTTGTGTTCTTAGAGCGCCTTCTAAGCCTTCAGGTCCTCTGGGGGACTCAGTATGGGAGTGGTATCTTTCCTTTTCATCTAATTTCTCATCCTCACAGCTTTAAAACCATTATCCCACCCTGGGGTCACTAAGTCTCCCTGGGTCTGACCAACTGAGGAAGTGCCAGGAAGGGGGAGCTCCTGGGCTCCTAGGCAGCCAGGGTCCCTTCCTGGGAGAGTATGTGATCCTGGGCAGGCCCTGGCCTTGCTGCTGCTGAGGCTTAGGATGTGGGTTTTAACCTTAAAGTTCCCTCCTGAGAGCCTCACATGCCATCTCTCTGGCATTTCTGGAGCTAATCTTCTAGAAGACTCTGCTTATCAGGGATGAAGAGAGGCAAGTAAGAAGCCCATTGAATGCAGATGATCCACTGGAGGAACATGGAGGATCCACTCCCTCCTTCCGCTCACCCTCCTGACTTACAGAACACCCAGAGGGCGGCTCCATTTTAAGGGCGGCTAGGGCTGAGTTTCCCAGTTAGCGGTAAACTGACAGCAACTTTTCAGTAAACTCCAGTTCACCATTTTCCTGGTCACTTGTTTCAGTAAGGGATGACAGCATTGGTTTCTGGGATCCTGAAGCCCATGTATAATAAATACTGCCCTTACCTTGTGTCTTATCCCCTTGGGCAGCTATAATAACAATACCATGAGACTGCACAGCTTAAATGGCAGAAATTTATTTCTCACAGTCCTGGAGGCAGAGAACTCCTAGATCAAGGCTCAGCAGGGCTGGTGTCTGGCGAGAACCTGCTCCCTGGCTCATAGACAGCTGTCTTCTTGCTGTCCTCATATGGTAGAAGAGGCAAGGGAGCTCTCTGGGGTCTCTTTTGTAAGGGCACTAATCCCATCCATGAGGGCTCCACCCTCACGACCTCATCACCTCCCAAAGGCCCACCTCCTTATACCATCACATGGAGGGTTAGAATTTCCATATACAAATTTTGGGTAGGACATAAACATTCAGTCCATTACACCTTGGTACCAGGGTCTTGGTGTTATCACCTAGAAATAGGATCCAGTGGTTTAGTCTGAAATAAGCCAGTGCCTGAATAAGCCAGCTTGCCACTGAGTCAGGATCATAACTAGTCTACGTCCTTGAGAGAGTGAAGAAACAGAGCACAGCTAAGGTGTGATGTCATGCAGTATGGACACTTGTCTCCTGTAGATTCAACCACAGAGTGAGTGTGTTGTTATTAATTTAGTCAACTGTCTGGCCCTGACTGTCCATTTCTTGGCCTGCCTTTCCCTCTATGGAAGGGCCCACACGAGTGTTGCCTACACGTGGTAAACTCAACCAGAGATGCCGGCTGTTTCGTTTGCTAAGGGAAATGTCATGTGACTGTGGGGATTTAATCAATAACTCTTTGCCACTGGTGGTGGTGAGGATAGATTCTTTCCTGGCAGGTTATACAGTTCTTGATATTATAAGCCTTGCATTTTTTGCAGTTATTTGTATGCTTAAATATATGTATTTACATATATATTTATAATATTTACGTACAATATACTATACCTAATATAGTATGTATATATACACACAGATAACCCATGTACACATGTAAGTACTATGAGATGCTCCCAGTTTTAGAAAAAACAGGAGGACAGGTAGTAGAAAGTAATCAGTGGTTTTTGTCATTGCATATCATATTTGTAACTTTCAACCCCTTGAAAGTACCATGTCCCTTGTAATTGACACTCTTGTTTTGACGGTGAGGGAAGCTGGAAGAAGGGCTGAGCGGAGGCCATGGTCCTCCTTTCACACCGGCCCAGAGGGCTCAGTACCAGCTGCAGAGCCCAGCGTCTGGAAAAGCCAGCTCCCTCACCCGTCCCCCATGCTGGCGTTCCTTCCACAGGGAATATAACCTTTTACTTCAAATCCTGTTCAGCAAATTTTCAAATGCCCTAGTGGAGGCAATAATCACCCATGTGTTAAAACTTGCTGGCAGGCAGTTTTGACATCTAGAAAGAGAAGTGTGTAGCCACTTAGCTGAGGGTGGGAGGGGGGACACCATAAAGAGTGGATACATTTTTGGAAAGAGGAATTGAGACTCTCAGAGTCAAAACTCATTACTTCATGCTTTTCCTTTAAGCCTGGTCTTCTGACCTTGTCTCATTTTTGAAAAAAGCTTTCAGTTCCTGACACAGCGGCGTTCAGTGTGAACCATCGATTACTTGTCTATGTGCTTCACCTGGGATTTACGTTTAAGTTTTCAGCCATTTCTTCAAGGCCTGGCAATAATTAACTCACTATAAGGAAATACTATGATTTTCTTAGTGAAATGGCATCAGAAAATAATTTCTGTCACTGAGTCACTAAGAACCGTAAAGAGCTCTAGTCACATCCGGGCCATTTTGTATCAGCCAGTGCCAAAGTCCTTTTTCATTATAGATGGTGCCTGCCCTTTCTGAGCACTGCTGGACTCATGCAATCTGAGTGAGGGGGGCCAGGAAAGCCTTGCCTGCGAGTCTCATAGACAGGCAATTAACTTGTATGTTTAACTGAAAAGCTTCCCGGGAGCCAGAAATAGTGTAACTTCATCCATCAAACACTTTTTGAGCACCCACTTGGTGCTAGGCACCATTAGACTCTTGGAAATAAAAAAAAATTGGTGAAAAACCTAAAGCAAAATATACTGTTTTGGCCCTGGAAAAATGTGCCGGATACAGAAGCCTGTAGTATTTCTGTTCTGGTCAAATAGCTCCTCTCTCCTCAAGACCACAAATGCTGAAGCTCATGCTTATTCTAATTTACAGTTGCCCGAAGGCAAAAGAGGAAAGTTAGCCTAGAAAGAACTATTAAAAAAAAAATTCTTTAACATCTTACCAATGCTGCCCTCTGCAGAGCAAAACTGGAAATCTCAGCTCTGCAGTTTGTACAAACTTCCCAGCATTGGTTAGTTTAGAGAGAACAGGCAGGTCCAGGGGCCTTCAGACTTCGCTCATAAACTCCCTAAAATAATTGCAAACAATCATGTACCCCTTTGCATGCGTTTAAACTGATCTAAGTTTATTTTTATCGAGGCATAATTGACTATAACATTATATTAGTTTCAGGTGTACAAACGAATGATTCGATATTCGTATCTACTGTGAAATGATCACCACCATAAGGACATGTAAGTTTGTATCATCAATTTCACAGTTGTAAAGGATGAAACTTTCCACGTATTTTCTGTGCTTTAAACAGTTGCAGATGGAGCTCATCCAGTTTATGAAAAATGTCCCTCCACCCCACCTTGTGGATAAAACCAGCCCTCATCAGCAAACCAATCAACCAAATTGGAATTTCTTTCTGACGGAAAAAAAAGTTGACCTGGTTGTTTTCTACTCAATGGAATTGCGTGTTTGTGGCAACCACTGCACTCTTGCTCTCTGCTGTTGAGCAGGTGAGTGGCTAGAGCAGGCACAGGGGCATGGCACTCCCCCCTTAGGATGTCCTTCGAGAAAGCTCCCTGTGCTTTGCTCTCCTGGGACTCTTCCCTGCTTAGATCTGAATTTTCTTATTGTGCTGTTGTTGGGTGCATTTTCTCACATACTGGGACAGTGTATTTAGCAAGATGCAGGATGGTAAGAGGTGTCTGTGTTTTGTTCAGTGGGAGAAGGGTGCTTGTGAAAGGGGAGGTGTCAACAAGAGGGGAGGGGGCAACCCATGGACTGAGCTCCCGTAGGCACTTCCTCAGGCAATCACTCAGGAACACAGGAGCCAAGGATGTGGAAAATGATTTCAGAGACTACCCCGAGGGGTAACCGCCTCTGGTGTGCAGCCGGCTGACCTGATTCACGGAGGAACACGGTCCCCTGAGAGCTGTACTCTGGCCACAGCCAGTGTCCAAGAGGTATTCATGTTCAGGTATTTATGCTTTTCTTATCCCTGTCCTCTTGCTCTGGCCTTTAACTGACAATGGCTGTCCTTCAGGGTCACCTAGAGTGCAGGACCGTGAGGTGCCTCTGCTACATTCTTTTAAAGGTTAGGCCTCTTGGACTATAACTCTTCCTTCTCTGTCTCTCTTGAGGTCTTGCAGATAACTTTTGGTTCCCAGGAGCTACTTGGCAAAAGGTAAATGCCACTTTACAGCAGCTTTCTGCTCTTACTGACATGTCAAGAGGTTTCCCATTTGGTGGGCAGCTGGACAAAGTGCCCCATGTGGACGTAGATAACGAAGCCAGAGGGCATGTGGGAGGTGGAGGGTGCGAAAACGATCAACTGTCTGCCAAGGGGCATCTTGAATGCTGGACTAAGACAGTCTAGGTCTGGCATGGCCTGACCCCAGCTTGCCTTTCCAGGCTCACTGCCCGCTGTTCCCTGCATCTCACTGATGGGAACAGAACCTGCTGCCCCACACACCCTAGGCTGTTCCCTCTGTCTGGCTTGCCTTGCCCCTCATCTGGGTCTGCCCTGCCTTGCCCCTCATCTGGGTCTGCCCAAAGCCTCTTTCAAGGCGAAAATACTGTTTCTTGAATATTCCCCAGTACAAGCCTCTCTCCTTCTTCTTAATCCTATAACATTCTGTACTTTTTAATGATATGTATTGTATTTTGCCTTATACTATAAATATTTAACTACATGTCTCATAGCCCTTTGAAGAGAGAGAGGCAAATTCATCTTTCTATTTCTCAGCCATCCAGCTCAAGATCTGCTACAGAGTAGGCACTCAGGAAGCATTTCAGGGACCAGGTCTACCCAATACCACCGATGTGTGAGTTTCTCCCAAGTAAATACAGATCCTGCTTCTTCGGATCAAAGCATGCACTCCTTCTCATCACACATCTAAAGACTGACAGGAGGCGTTCTGAGACTTGGTAGTTTCTTGAGTTCCAGCAGAAGGTATCTGTGAGGGTAAGGAATTTATAAGTGTGATCAGGGATTTTGTCATGGATGATGACACACTTTGGGTGGCATTTCTAAAGCACTGCCTGGTGCTTCTAGGTCAGGAGACCTGAGTTTGGTGACGGCGTGCTGTGCATCAAAGGAAAAACAGGAAGCTCAAACTGGGTTCATGCATTTTTTTCCTCTCCTGTAGGATCTGCTCAAGCATCTGCTCAAGGCCCAGATTCATTTGTTGATTCAGGTAGTTTTTAAAACATGCCAAGTACTCGAAGGTCTTTGGGAATGTTTCCAAATTTTATAAAAGACATGGGAACAATAAAATAAACAGAAATCAAACCATGGTAACTCCTTAAGCATACTCCAAACCTTGACTAAATGTGCAGCTTAGATTTAAATGATGGTCATGTACCATCACTTCCTGGAGACAGGATACATGAAAAATAGAACAGGGGATGAAAAAGTTCCACCTAAAATCCTATATAAATTGGCAGGGACCAAGCTCCTTTAGATATTCATAAATCTGCAAATAAATTGGAGGGTAGCTGGAATGGCTCTGCAGCGCAGTGATTTTCCAAGACAAATCCACTCAGACAAACCAAAGAACTGAGAAACTGGGGGCTGTGTAAATTATCTTATACACAACGCATAAAGAATTATGTCTCTGGGAAAATGTGGTTTTATTTTATCCTGTAACAATGAAAGTCTTAGCTATCTAGTGGGAAAGCAAAATGTTTTTGGTTTTGCTTTTTTTTGGTGAGGAAGATTGGCCCTGAGCTAACACCTGTGCCAATCTTCCTTTACTTTTTGTACATGGGATGCAACCACAGCGTGGCTTGATGAGGGGTGTGTAGGTCCCTGCCCGGGGTTCCAGACCTGCGAACCCTGGACTGCTGAAGCAGAGCATGCAAAGCCAACCACTAGACCACTGCCACTGGGCCGGCCCCAGGAAAGCAAAATTGTTGAATGGAAATGTGTGCCAAAGCCTATGGCACAGCTTGACAGTTTCTTGCTTGGGAGCTTCTTGTCCCAGCTCTGCCATTATCCAGAGTGAATTTTCCTGAAGATCTGTCCATTTTTATACTTAAAAAATTGAACATTGGCCAATGAGTGCAGATAGGAAGACTTTGGCTTGCTAATCAGTCTTGTTAAAGAGTCCCCCATTCTTTAGATGCTAAAATTTGGAGAATTCATCTCCCAAGTCTCTCACGCAACCTGCCGTTTTTCATTGAGCACCTATTGCAAGCCCTGCTCGCCTGGCACTGCAGTATTTGGCAGCCAGGGGGTTCCCATGGAAACCAGTTCTACTGCAGGAAAGTTTCCCAATCTGGCTGAAAATTGGGGTTAGTGAGGCCAGTCTCCATCCTGCTAAGAAACAAAGCTAGCCTTTCACAGCAGCGAGAAGCTGGCACTTGACCGCATGTTTTCCCAACATCCTCTATAAAAACCCTTTGTGGTGTTTGCTGGATGACCTCTCACTGATCTCTCTCTTATGTTCTAAATGCCATTCTCATGCCAAGCTTGATGAGAGTTTTCATTCTTTCTATAATAGTAGGGTTTTTCGATTTAGCAAATAAAAATATAGGATATCTGGTTAAATTTGAATTTCAGATAAACAACAAAGAACTTTTTAATATACAATATTTGGGACATACACTTAAAAAATTCATTTTTTATCTGAAATTGAATATAATAAGGCATCTTGTTGGCCGCTCTGAACAGGGGTTCAAATGTCCTAATTTTCATATTCAGTGGAATGTTTGCTGCTTCTGTTATCCCTCATTTCAAGAAATAATGCTATGGAAGCTGAAATTACTTTACTTACCTGAAAAGGGCATGCACTCCTCCCCCTCAAAAGTTATCAATAACACATGATACACTTTCATTAATGACTGTCCTGAGGTTTGTCTATTCTCTTCTCTGATGCCAATAACTATTGCCTTTCAGCTCCTACCTCTTCATCTCCATCTCTGTCACCACTTGTCTCACTTTCTTAAGAAAAGAAAAATCCTTTGTGTCAACCATGGAGTGTGCAGGACAGCGGCTCTCAAGTCCTTTCGCTGCGTGGGTTATGGGATCCCATGAGTTCTGAGTCTAACAATAGAACAACCACCCTGTTGTTGCTCTTTCTGTTACTCTTTCTGTTGCTAAGTAGCGCTCGCGTGAAGTAAAGGTGACTCTTATGTTTTAGGTTAAACATTTGGAGAACACATCTTATTTTCCCTTTTTTGAGTTAACATAGTAAGCTGGAGGGTGGGTGGGGAATCGGCAACAACTGAAATCTTCGCTGCTCACTTTTGGAGGCTTCTAACTTGACTGCTGTCACAACGAAACACTTCTTCCAAGCTTGTCCGCCCACAGAAAGGCTGCGGTCCCTCCCCAGAGTTTGGCCAATGTCCAGCCTCTGTCTACAGCAGAGTCTGTGTTGGAACCTGCTGACGGATTCTGGGTTAGCCGGTCTAACATAAGCTGGTTCCACACTCTGGTAGGCAACAGGGAGCTAATTACACAGAGGAAAGGGAGCTGGCAGAATGGGTAATTGTCATGGGTGGACTTATTCCTGATTAACTGCCTGGGGAGACACGGCAGGAACGTATAATGGCAGGGGAGTGTCAGAGATAAGCATATTTAGGGGTGAGGCACATAAGGATATATTGACTTCTTAAATGAGATAAGGTACTTATAACTTGGCCACACACAAAGTTCAAAAACAAGCGCCCAAACCAACCGGAAAGTGAACACTGGTAGATATTGGGGCGGTGGATGTGAAGGACGGAGGAGGCAGAATCCCCCGGGAGGTCCTAGAAGCAGGCCAGGCAGGGGAAACATTTTAGAGACACTTAGGAACAGAACATCAATTATGCAAATCACCCTGGATTGATCTAAGACTCAGACGCAAGAGAGAGGACACCTCTTGCAAGACAGAGTCTGAGCTACCCACTCCAGCATTCAAGGTCCCCACAGTCCGGTCCCGGTCTCATCTCTTCAGCATGTCCGCCAGGAGATCACAGGGGCAGAGAACCTGACTTTTTTTTCTTGCCCCTTCTGTTATCTCCCACGTACTGCTGCCCCACCCAGGCCAGGCAGCATGGCCTCCTCGCTTTCCTAGACCACTCCTGGTGCTTCCTCCCATGCTTCTAGTGGGAAAGCCCTCTCCTATCCAACTCTCTGTACATACTCCCTGCCCTGAGCCCACTCTATCCTGTCTGTCCCTGCCCAAGCCTCTGTTTTTATTAGCTCGAGTCTGAGTCTGCCATGCGGGTGAGTATGCCCAGACCTCCCCCACTGAGCCGAAAACACCTGAGGGCAGGAGCTGCCTCTTACCTATCTGTCTACTTCCAGCCCCTGGATTAGTACAGAACCTGGAATAGAGTAAGTCTTAGTAAACGTTTGTTATTGAACCAGGTAGGTGGATGAATGGATGGATGGATGGATGGGTGGGTGCGTGGATGGGTGGATGGATGGATGGATGGGTGGGTGCGTGGGTGGATGGGTGGATGAAGGACTGGGTGGGTGGCTGTACGTATGTGTATATGAATATATGTTTGTGTGGATGTATTTGTGGATAATGGCTGGGAGGCAGGAATCTACACTGCACAGGAAACCCCCCCTACGTTCTCTCTGGGCTGGGGAAGAAGCAGAGCAGTGGGAGGAGCATGCACGAGAGCACAGAGATGAGGAGTTTAACCTCAGCTTCTTCATCACTGGCCATGTGACCTTGGGTGAGTCACTGAACCCCTGCAGCCCAGTTACCATTCGCTTGTAAATTGGTGACTAGAACACCTGTCTGCCTGAAGTTAGGGGTTTGGATCGGATGGTCTCTTGATGTCTCTTCAGATGATTCTCAGAATTAGTTCCTCTCAAATCTGCTCCAAGACAAGCCAAGGTGAGGAGGTTTGCCACCACAGAGCTTCTGGGGCGGACCTGGGAAAGCAGCCTCATGATCTTTTACCCAGCAGCGATCCACAGAGCTTGACCTTTTCAAGCATCCCTGGTGCTAGAATGCTAACAGTAGCTGTCAGATACTTTTTTAACTGCGAGGCCAGCAACACCTCAAACCACAACCTATGAATTTATGTCCAGCTTCTGTGATCTCTCATGGTGGACTGAACACACTGAGCACACGGCCCAAGCTTTGGTCCTGTCCATCCCGGAAAGCAGAGCCCTCATTTATGACAGGTTTCCCCTTCACAGAGTAGAAGGCATTCCAACAGCCTGGATGCACTGCTCAGCTCCTTCTTCTCCTTCCATGAGAGGGAGGATTAACCAATAAAGTTGCCTCAACACTAAGAGCCAGGACATCAAAGCCTGATGAACGCATTTTCCAGAGCAGCAAAAAGTATTATAAAAACTGGTGATTCCTGCGAATCTGGTCGTTGGAGTGACCAGGGACGGCTTACATTATTTGCCCGAAGTTACTTTCTGGTTGCTGAACAGAGTTCTAGGTCTGACCCTGGGAAGTGTCCCGGCCCCACCCACTGTAGACTGACTTCTCCACTTTCCTCCACTGGGGGAGGGGGCCGGTGTGTGTGGTAGTTGTTCGTCTGTGTTGGCAGGTGGGTGAGGGTGAGGGGTAAGTAAAGAAAGAAGGGGCAAACTAGAGTTTAGTGGCAGCTCAGCTTGACCCCTGGGATCCAGAGAGGACCATCCCTCAGCAGGATGTTTCTTCAACTGAATTTTGCTCTCGAGTAAACACCCTTTCCCGTCTCTGAGCATCATGCCCCACTCAGTGCATGGCTTTGTGACCCTGTTTTGGCCTCTCTGTTGCCTCATTCTCGGCCCTGGTGAGGGTGTCAGGTAAGCATTGTTTCCACATTTGCCTTTACCCATGAGTGTGTGTACTTTCCTGTTTGTGTGACGTGTCTGTGAGTCTGTGAGCCACCTGACTGAGAGCTCACCAGGCGAGAAGCTGGTTCTCATGTCTGCTGGGCAGCTCCTCGGGGCTGGTGGCCCCACACTGCCTAGGACACAGCCTGAAGGAAAGGACCTGGCAAATTGTGTTTGGGGAATAGCATTTACACTTCCATCATTGCATAAAGTTAGGAGATTTAGAGATAAGGGGCTAAGTGGGAAAAAACCCTGAGCTTTTCCCATTTATCATGTCATGTAATCTTCCTGGGGTGACCTGAGGTGATGAGTTTTATAATTTCCTCCATTTTTCACATGAAGAATCTGAGGTGCAGAAAGCTGAGTAGGAGATTCAAGCCCTTGATTCTGGCTTCTCTGCTCTTATCTTTTTTTCTCCCGGAGACTTCCCACGGCTATAATTTACTTCCTTTTATGCAGTAGCTGAAAGTAATAATGTATTTTCTATAATCTTTTTTTGTGTGTGTGTGGTAAAACAAATACATGCGCTTTGTTTAACAAATATTCCAAACCTCCGGAAGAATATAAAGTGGAGATGTCTACATTTCCCTGAGGTAACCACTCAGTGAACACTTTGGGACCCAACTCCACTATTCATTGTGGATATTAATTTTATTTTTTTTTTTTGAGGAAGATTAGCCCTGAGCTAACTGCTGCCAACTCTCTTGTTTTGGCTGAGGAAGACTGGCCCTGAGCTAACATCTGCACCCATCTTCCTCTACTTTATATGTGGGACGCCTACCACAGCATGGCTTGCCAAGTGGTGCCATTTCCGCACCCGGGATCCAAACCGATGAACCCCAGGCCAGCGAAGCAGAACGTGTGCACTTAACTGCTACGCCACCGGGCTGGCCCACGGGTATTCATTTCTTGATGCTTCCTGTCCCGCATCAAGTTTCTGCCTCAGGCCCGCCTTTCCTTCGTTGTGACTTCCTCACAGCTTTCCACAGTGTGCGTGAGAGGCCCAAAGCCTGTGACAGGTGGCTTCACCCCAGCTTGGGTATTCAACCCACCCACCTTTTGGTGGTTTCTCATTTTCCCAAGTCTCTCTTTTCCCGAGGATTTTTTCCCTTTTTACTCATGGAGTGTTTTTGCCTGGGGAGAGGATATAGACATGGATAGGAGGGTAGGAAATGTAGAAAGGAAAATCACCTTGTTGGAGTGAATGGATGCGTCTCCCTACAGAGAATAGTGTCCTCAGGTGATGGGTTATGAGGTTTAGGAGGCCTGTGGTGAGATTTTGCTGCAGCCAAAATCACGATGTCCAACAACGTGCCTCAGGTTAGCTTTCGGGTTTCACTGATGGATTTGTCTGGGTAGCTTACTGTTTCGATTAATTAACTGAAAGCTGGTATTCTATATAAAGGCAAATTGTCACCTCCCCCCACCCACCGAGTCCCTCTCAGGCACAGAAATGGGTAATGACTGAGGAAAATGAGGTGGACTTGGAATTGCTGGGCTGCTGTGACTTCTGAGTTTCGCCTCTCAGAGAGAGCGACACAGCTTGTGCGAACGCCATTGTCCAAATGTAACCACCTGACGTGGAGACCCAGCCTTTGCCGCCAAGGCCGGCTCACAATACTAATGAAGTAGGAGCACAGGGAACCAATAAGCAATCCTATAGATTGGAAGAGAGAAGATGTCACCAAAATGCTGATCTCTGTAGATACAAAGGAATGTGGACTTACGGAGTTTTACGGTACATCCATGCTAACTTCAGACTTACCTGTCGCTGATGTTTATTTTCCAGGTGAGGCAAAGTGCGGGTGGGGAAGGCAGGACTCAGAGGGCGACGGGAGCACATGCAGCCCTCCCACCCCACCCAGAAAGGTTGACGTGAAGGCGAGAAGAGCCACATCCCTGGGCTGTCATTGACTGCTTATGTGGACTTGGGCACAAAACCTAACCTCTGGGGCCACAAGATGTCAGTGGCCATGAGACTCGCTTCACAGGGAGGCTGAGGGACCTCAAAAAGGTGTGTCTGCAAATTGCTTAGCAGGCAATAGCCGCTTAAACACCAGCGAATATGGGACCATTACTTTGTCCCGTCTGGGGTTTATAATTTCTTTGCTTTTGACACTTTTCTCCTAGAACCTGCAGAGGGTGGCAGAGGCCTTCGGTTGCTGTCCTTTCTTCCCAGCTGGGTTCTCAGGGCCTGTTTCCCCATTAGGCAAAGCAGGTGCAGAGCCATGGGCCTATGAGACTTGTAGGGGCCCA